AATAGGAATGTTTTAAGGGCAGATTTAAAATACGAAAGAGAAGCTGCAGATTTAGGAGAATCAGGAAGAGTATTCCATAATGTAGGTGCACAGAAAGAGAACGTACGTTCACCGTATGTCACAGAATTTATAGTGCATCAGGAAACAGAGATAATCGTGTAGAGTCGCATTCCTTCTAAACATCGTTTTGATTTAAAAACGATAAATGTTTCTACCAACCTTCAACTCATTCAGTATCTTCTTTATGTGGAGTCCTATATCTGTGACTTTGTCTGGTATCTGAGTTTCTGTCTCGCAACTTGCTGATGTGGTCATGAATTCATTAGGAATAACGAAGAGAAAAGGTTTGGCCTTTTTGTTTCGTTTGCGGCGCTTTGAGGGAGATTCCTGAGAGATGAAGAGACACTATAATTAATAGATGATAGAAAGCTCAGTTTCCATTTTCATAGCGCAATTTCTGCGAATTCGGCTTGAACTAAACCGCAGGGGCGTAGTTAGGACTTTTCAAAGAGGATCTAGTCACAGGTAAGAACTTCTGCCCTCCTAACATGAGGAGCATGTTTAACTCTTAAATTGCTCTGTCTTGTGTATCAGCGGGCTCGTCTTCACATGACAATAAGGAACGGCAAATGGAGTATCTAGCATTGATAAACATGCTGTGAAGACTCCCCGGATACATAGGTTGAAAGGTTTGTTTGCTGTCGACAAGAAGCAGGTTACTGGTACGCTCAAATACCCAGCGCTCCTGAACTGCCCCCAGGCTTCTCATAATTTTCATGGCTGAGGTGGGAATCGTGATATACCGGCGGTTCAAGCTTGCCTTCCTCCGAAAATTTGCGTCTTCGGAAGACACTGAAGCCTCAGGAAAGACATGCATCTCATTTCTCCTGACGGTATCATTGCTAAATCAAACATCAAAGTAATGAGAATAAAGGCAATGATCACCAACCAAAGAACCCCTTCATTACTAAAAAATTCTCCTTGTCAGTACCGTAGCAAA